AGCCTGAGCAACAGAGTGAGACCCTGTCCAAAAAAAAAAAGAAAAAAAAGGCTGGGTGTGGTGGCTCAGGCCTATAATCCCAGCACTTTGGGAAGCCGAGGCAGGCAGATCATGAGGTCAGGAGTTCGTGACCAGTCTGGCTAAGATGGTGAAACCCCATCTCTACTAAAAATACAAAAATTAGCTGGGCATGGTAGTGCGTGCCTGTAGTCCCAGCTACTCGGGAGGCCGAGGTTGCAGTGAGCTGAGATGGTGCCACTGCACTCCAGCCTAGCGATACAGCAAGACTCCGCCTCAAAACAAAAAAACCCAAAACAACAAAAAACAAAAAAACAAAGACTATGCACACTCCAGCCCCTCCTGGAAGAACCTACCTTTTTCCAGAAATCCTCAACCCAGTCTCTGCCTACCTGCCCTAAGAACCCTTAAGATTTCCCCTTTACCAGGCCCCTCCCCCTGGGAGAAGGTGCTTGGAGCATTAGCTCCCCTTCTCCATTCCTATGATTCAAGATTTTCTTCTTGGTGACTTTGCAAGCTGGGGACCTCTGGCTAGCAATGCCCTACCAGGTCTCACTCGCCAGGTTACCTGCTGCAGGACATGGCCTTTACTTGCTGCAGGAGACGACCCACCCACTCAGCCCAGTTGGCGGAGTCTAGTTTAAGCACTGGTTCTGGAGTTCTCATCCCACAAGCCCAAGAAGAATGAGGAGGCACTGACAATTGAAGAGTGAGCAAAGTGGGGTTTTACTGAGTGATAAAACAGCTTTTGGTGGCTGTGGGGGGTGGTCCCCCTACCTGAAAGTGGGAAAGTTCCCCTAATATGGCTGAGTCCAGTGCTTCTATGGGCTCAGAATGGGGGAAGGGCAGGCCATAGGTAGTACTGGAAAAGGCAACATTCAGTTGGTTAAAAGGCATTATTCAAAAAGAATCAATCAGGAAAGGGTAGGCAAACAGAAACAGAAGTTCTCATTCTGGATTGTGGGTTTCATCCAGGACCAGCAATCGGTCTTTCAGACTTCAGGCTGTTTTTGGCTTGAAGGTGGGGTTTCACTGGGGACCCACCCCTATCTGCCTAGGCATTTGGCCTCCTCCTGTTGCTGTCTCCTAGATCAATGAATAAAGCTTCTGCTCTGCTTTATGGAACCTGGCTTTGTTCTGTTGGTGCAAATGGGACCAGGCAAGGAAAGGACCCATTAGGATCAAATGACCCCCTTTAATGTAACAGCTGGAGAAAAACCAGGTGGGCAGGGTGTTCTGGAGGGACCCGGGGAGTGGAGGGGAGGCCCTCTATTCAGGCTATGCCCTTGAACCTTCCAGGGTGTTGGTGGCCCTTCCCTCTGGATCTGCTTTTTTTTTTTTGAGAAGGAGTCTCGCCCTGTCGCCCAGGCAGGAGTGTAGTAGTGTGATCTTGGCTCACTGCAGCCTCTACCTCCCGGGTTGAAGTGATCCTCCTGACCCAGCCTCCCGAGTAGCTGCGATTACAGGTGTGTGCCACCACACCTGGCTAATTTTTTATTTATTTTTAATTTTTTTAGTAGAGACGGAGTTTGACCATGTTGGCCAGGCTAGTCTCGATCTCCTGACCTCAGGTGATCTGCCTGCCTCAGCCTCCCAAAGTGCCAGGATTACAGGCGTGAGCCACTGTGCCTGGCCTGTTTTTGAGATGGGGTCTTGCTTTGTTGTCCATGCTGGCTTCCAACTCCTGGGCTCAAGAGATCCTCTTCCTTCAGCCTGCAGAGTAGCTAGGATTACAGGTGCAAGCCACTGTCCTAAACTTGGACATGCTTTTTAACTTGAGGAGCACAGGCACCACCACCTGTCATCATAGCTCTCACTTGACCTCCCTCCTCCTCCACACACACAAAGAACAGACAGGTATCAAGGCTGTTTATTGACTCTTCACAGCCAGCGGTTCTCCCTCTGCCATTCTGGGGTGCCTAATCCCCGTCTCCCTTGCCTGGAGCCAAGTGGAGTGGCTCTGAGCTTGACCCCAGACGCCTTCCTCTTGCCAGGCTTCCCTGCCCCGCAGCCTTGGCCTTCCTGGTTTGCCACAGGGGCTGTTACTCCTTTGATTCCACATCCTCCTTCTCGAAGCGTGTGAGGTAGGCCATCTGAGCCGAATCATGCGAGCCATAGAGAATGTTCGTGCTGTAGGAGCTGCCGTGGAGGCGCAGGGCTGCAGGCAAGAAAGGCGGGCGTGAGGCTGTGCTGGCGGCGCCTGCGCCCGGCTTCCTTCGTCCCACACTCACCTTTGGTAACATTGACTTTGTTGGCCGCCAAGATGTCCGCCTGAATGTTGTCTAATTTCATGTACAAGTCCTCAGCGTTGCTCTGAGGACAGGAGCAAGGGGGACCCGGCTGGGGTGCCAGGGCAGTCTGGACTTGGAGTTGGGCTTGGCAGAGGGATGTTGCAGGTGGGGGGCGAGTTGGCAGCCTGACCGAAAGGGCAGGAAAGGGAACAGGAAGATGGCGGGTGGAGGAGCCTAGGCCAGAGCAGTCCCTCCTGCAGCTGGTGGCCAGGTCCACTCTGCATGTGGAACGCTCCAGGATGGGGACTGTGTGAAGGGGCACCACACTGTCCGAGTCGCCGTCTGAGGGCGCACTTACCAGGAAGAGCTGGTAGAGTTCCTCTCCCATGCCCTTGCGCACGTGCTCCGCCACCAAAGGGAACATCTGCACGAAGCACTGCGCCGCGCGGGCGGGGCGGCGTGACTGCGGGGGCGGCGGGACTGTGGCTGCCGCAGCCCTTCCCGCCCCCTCGCTAGGGGCAGTGCGCACCTCCAGCGTGAGGCTGGCCAGCCGCTGGCTGTTGCTGTGGTCCATGTTGCCCATGGCGGCCATTAGGCCGTGCACCACGTGCAGGTACAGCAGTTCCTCGGCGATGCTCATGTCGTTGCGTGCCAGGACCCTGGGCCGGGGGATTCAGGCTGGGCCGATGCCCTGGGCTCACCCGGCGCACAGCGTCCTGAGCGCTCCCGGGGCCCGCGGGCAGCTCCAAACCAGGTTTGTAGCCACCCACTACCCTCTGCCCGCTTACCCGATGGCCTTGGCGGCCGCGGCCTGCTGCAAAAACATCGGCAGGCTGGGGGCGAGCTGGAGAACTGAGGGGTCTGAGGAGAGGGCGGCCGTGAGGCAGGAGACCCCCCTCCCTTGGCCCAGGCAGCCCCATCTGAGCAGGTCCCTACCACTGAGGATCTTGGCCTGCAATTTGGAGGTCTCCTTGACCGACGGTATCAGCAGCGTCACGAGGCCCTTGAGCAGCGCCTGGCGCACATCGTAACCCACCAGGTCCTTGATCAACTCGATGGCTGGGGAAGGGCAGAGGTGCTGGTGAGAGGCCCCAGGCCCCTCCGCCACCGAGGAAGCAAGGAACCCCGTGAACCAAGTCGCCACTCGTCACTGTCCTCCTCTCGACCTTTTACTGACCAGCACTGTGCAGGGCGTGGGGAAGCTGGGAAAGCGAACCTCAGTTGAAGAGCAGGAGGCGGGGGCTGAAGGGGGAGGAGGAAGAGTTGTATGGTGAGTCCACATGTGGAGGTGGCCTAGGATGTCAGCGCTGGAGGCTGAGAGGCCCCAGAGAGATGGACCTTCGCCTTGGAGGAATCCAGGTTTCATGGAGGAGGGAAGTGCTGGGTCTTTATAGGAAGACAAGATGGAGAAAGACAAGGGATGAGAGGGAGACAGAGAAAGTGGGTGAGAGACTTGTGGCAGGAAATGAGAAAGGGGAAGCAAGGTAGGCCCTCCTTCTAACTATCGTCGAGCCCTCTCCACCAGGCACGGTGCCAGGCTTCCCATACAGCATCCGTAGAAGCTCTCCAGAACCAGATGAAGTTCACTTCCCCGTTTTACCTTTGCCAAAATTAGGCACAGAGAGGTAAACCACTTTGCCTAAGCTACACAGCTAGGAAATGGTGGAAGCAGAAGGAGGGGAGGATTTGGTTAGGAAGGAGAAAGGGACTAGAATTTATGGAGGGCGTTTCCTGCAGTCTTTCCTGTAGATATTTTACAGGCGTTCATTCAGTCCAGCATTCACTCAGCCTTTCGGCACGGCTGCATGTGAATGCCTATCGTGCCAGGCGCGGCATTGGGTGTTGAAGATACAGACTGAATTCATTCATTCAACCAACCTTCCGTAAGCATGCACAAACAGGCAGCGATGATATGGTGACAGGTGCTGTGGAAGGAGTCAGTGGTTGGGCTGTGGGAGCACCAGAGAAAATCGGCAAGGATTGAATGTTTTTGTAAAGAAGAGAAAGGAACCACAGAGGTAAAGGGGGCAGGAGGAGATGCTAAGGCAATGGCACACCAG